ATGAATGGAATCGGTACAGGATTGCCAACGGCGTCGATAAATGACACAGTTTGCAACTGTGGTCTCAAATTTCGGATGTTCCTCGCGTCAAATCGGGCGGCTACGTTGCGAAGAAAACTGGCGGTTCACCGACAAACTTTGGATCTACTTCTACAGTGGCTCCAAAAACTGTTCACACTTGCACCGCATTTTCGATATTTCGCCTATATCTCTCTTTAGATACCATGTAAATTCGTGAAATGAAAATAATAAATACTTTACTATCATTACAATAGATTCCTATAGTTTTCATGAGTTTAGCATCTTGTCTACCAAGGTGTATTAGGGCCACAAGTAAGTGATATGCCATGAACAGTTCTTGTGCTCATACCCCAAGTCACGTGTCTACCCATTGTTTGCGTTACTAAACATGTACAAATATATACAAACTATCTATCTAGCTATATAATGAGTGCCTATATTGTCTGTAACCTGTAAATTAGCACCATGTCCCTCCCAGCATCCATCCAGTTTGAACTCCGTCAAATGCTCCTAAACAACAAATCTTACACTCAAATCATTAACCACATTCATATTTCTCGAGGATTCATCTCAAAATATCGTCGCATCTTCGAAATTCCCCCTAGAACAAGCAAGGGAGGCAGGCCAGCCAAGCTTACCACCCATGCCCGGCGTCTCCTGGTTCGCACTATCACCTCTGGAAAGGCAGATACTGCTCCTGAAGTTAAGAGGGCTCTGGGATTGACAGTATGCAACCAGACAGTGAGAAATGCACTCAATGAAGAGGGCCTTTATGCACGTGTCAAGCCCAAGAAGTGTCTCCTCAAGGCTGACCACCTCAGAAGGCGCTTGAAATTTGCCAAGAAGTACCAATACTGGACCTCAGAGGACTGGGCACGGGTTATATTCTCGGATGAGACGAAAATTAATCGTATGGGCTCGGATGGCAGGCTCTGGTGCTACAAGAGGAAGGGGGAGAAGCTGTCCAAGCGAACTGTCAAACCTACCGTCAAGCATGGAGGTGGTAGCGCGATAGTTTGGGGCTGTATGTCGATGCAGGGTGTTGGTAGAATGTCTAATATCGATGGGATCATGTATTCTGAAGACTATGTCGACATTTTGGACGACAAACTGCTACCAACTGTTACAGATCATGGACTACGACGAGGAGGGTACATCTTCCAACAGGATAACGACCCCAAGCATACCTCTAGGATGGCCAAGGAATGGTTCAAGGATCACAGGGTGACTGTTCTAGACTGGCCTGCGAATTCCCCAGACCTAAATCCTATTGAACATCTGTGGGTTTATCTCAAGCAGCAATTGAACAACTACGAACGGTTTCCCACAAGCATGCATGAGCTGAATCAGAGGATCGAAGCTGAATGGAACAAAATACCAAGGGAAGAATGTATCAAGCTGATTGAGAGCTTGCCTAGAAGGATTCAGCAGGTCATAGAGGCCAAAGGAGGCTGTATCAAATATTAGCACAATAACTGTTCACGCTATACCCCTTACCTATGTACCCAATAATTCCCTCATGTATATAGCTAAACTTCTATCATCTTTATAATATTGTTTGCAAGATACAAGAGTATTTTATTTATTGATTTCATAAGTTTAGATACAGCGACTATTGAGGAACGGGTCAAACACGCAAAAAGGGGTGGGTGCGTGAACAGTTCTTGGAGCCACTGTATTT